TCGCCACAAGCTCAGGTGTAAACCTAGACAAGCTAGTGAAGGTGGCTTTAAACTCAGCCATTGCCGTGTTCAACTGCACCAATTTAGAGAACTGATCTCTCAACTTCTCCCTGACTGTGGGAGGCAAAAACTTGTCCTGGAATGCATTGACGAATGCCTCCCAAGTCACCTGAATGCGCCCACGCGCATACTTCCACCACTGACCCGCATCCCCTTTCAGCTGGAAAGATACCAAGGTCACCCTCAATTGGTCGTCCTTGATGCCAAGCATCTCGAACGTCTTCACTTTCTGCTCCAACCACTTATTTGCATTTAGTGGCTCCTTGGGATCGCTCAAAAACTCATCCGGATTCGATTGGAAGAACTCTCTTTTCAGAAAAGATAGCCCTGCCTCGGCAACCTAAGCTTGCCCTGAGAAAGTCCATGGATTTTCGCAATGCTCCGGCCATTTCACAGGCTAAGGCGCCCATGGCCTGCTGACTCATTGGTTCGGCCACATTGGCCTGGCCAACCCCTTCTTCCTGTGCCAGAATATCATCCTGTAGAGGCGTCTCATGCCTTTTACGCCTATCACCATCATGTCCACGTCCTGACATTAATAAATCAAAACATGCATATGAACAGCATATAGAATTACATAAAAGTTTGCACCTAACATATCACAAAACAAAGTGAGTGAGGGAGTCCATGATGTGCATACTTAGTTACGATTTAGAAATTAGGAATGAAATCTTCTTTTACACAACTTTTGACTTTTAACAACACAAAAAGAGTTTCTTTGATGCATAATGAATATAAAATAGATTAGATGTACCATTCAGACACTGCCTAATAAATATGGCATGCAGCTTACAAGGTTGAACATACATCGTATATTCAAGATAACCAACACATGCCGAGAGTTCAAACCTTATGAACAAAAAATATGTTGTTATGAATAATTATAACTATAATAACAATATTCATAAATATATTATTATTCCAAGGTGTATTGATTCACAAACTAAAGCTCTGATACCACATGTAAGATTTAATAATACATGTAACCATAATAATAATGCGGAATTAAACTTTACAGGATCTTGAATTCAATACAACTCAAGAATAAAACGAATATGCCTTTGTCAACTATTGAATTAGAGAAGTTGAGAAAATACCCCTTAGAGTTGAACCTTTAATTTTGGCTCACCTTCTTCTCTCTGTCTCTCTTAATTAGGATGACTATAAAACTTAAAGTGATGGAAAAAATACTCATGATATGAAAGGGGAGTCACCCATCCTTATATAGAGGAGAGAAGAGGGCCAGATAAGCTCTATCAGAAGAATTCCTAATCCATCAAGGTTTCCTTCTTATCTTAGAAGAGTGATTATATTAAAATTCTATTTACTGAACTTTATCTCAAATATTGGCTTTATCTATTTGTGGAGTCCAAATAAATTAAAACATGTAGAAAATATGTAGGCTATTGGGCCACACTAGAAAAATAAATCTAACAAGAAAAGCACATTCCAGTGATTTTGTTTTCGATGATCCAGAAATGCTATGAATGAAACTGGAAGCGAAGAGGAAGGCGTGAAGATGAAGGATACTAACGAACATGTATTTTTAACGTGGGGATCTTCCCGGAGCTTCGCCGAACCGATCACCGGTGACTGTCCAGTTTCCAGAGATAAACATTGTCGGCGATTTGTGGAAGGACGTTTGTGGTGGTAGATGTGGATTCGCCATGGCCATTTTAGGTGATTCTTCGATCCTTAAATTGCTTCTCTCTGTGATTGATTTTCAATTGTTCTCTGTTTGATTGAATTCGATTGTTCACGGAACTCTTACTTGAGATGTTTAGATCTCTTTCTCTCTTTTCGATTCAAAATCACACTTATAAAATTATAAAATAAATAAAAAAAAATTTGAGAGTGTAAGGAGTTAGATTGATGGTGTAAGTAAAATCACTTTTGTTTTTTAAAGTTTTTTCTTGTTGGAATCAATTTTGAATTGATATGGATAAGAGTATGCATACTATGTTCTATTGTAAATATTTTTTAAAAAAATATAGACAAATAGGTCTTGTGCTTTTCTAAATTAAAAAAAATAGAGACTAGCAGATCTATTTATGCACTTCTAAGTTAAAGATGAGATATTTGATCGAATTAAAAAAAAAAAAATGGGACAGATATTTGTACATCAATAAAGCTTGGGACCTCTAATTAGAGGTGTCACTAGTGATGTGGCGGTGGGTCCCACCCACTGCCACTGTCAGTGCTGTGTCTGTTTTTTTTTTTCTTTTTTTTCTTTTCCACCTCATTAGAGGTGTGTTTAGAGCCTCTAAATTAGAAGTCTTTAGCATCACTGTTTTTACATTATATGTTCACTATCTAGACCCACTTTTATAAATCTATTATTGTAAAAGAGCTTATTGGATCAGATAATACATAAGAGAGAATTGCCTAAGATATTTTGATAAATTGATACATCATTGGATTTAAAAAGGCCCAAGCTGGTCTCTAGTTTGAAATCGGATTGGAGCATATTGTTGGGGGCAAGCCCACCATAGAGTCCACATTGATGATTTGAACCGTTAATATTTAGGACTCGTGAGTATTTCCTTTCTGTAAAAAATCACGTTGATCGGATATCAATAACCACTTGATCAAATCAAATTTGTGTCAACGGTCACTATGATTTTAAAAATAAATTATTGACACAAATGTGATATAATCAAGTGGCTATTGATATCCAATCAACATACTTTTTTATTGGGATGAAATACTCGATAAACCCTACATATTCAACAGTTTGGATTATCGATATAGATTCTGTGATGGGCCTATGGAAGCCCAACAAGTCCCAACTGGAGACAAGTTGCTCCCTTAAAAAAATATGTCTAATTTTTTGGCTAGAATAACACTTCTCAAAAAATCAATAAAATACCAAAGTAAAGTACGTTTTGTATTTATTGATTTAGTTATAAAAGTAATGAGATAGAATTATTTTATATACAAATCTATTTTCTAAACTTTTTTTTTTAAATCTAACAATGTGTAAGTGATATGATTAATTAATAATTAAAAAAAATATTAAAAAATATATCACCTTTAATATCTTATTAAACTATTACATCATTAAATTAAAAAAATAAATTTAATTTTTGTTCTTCAAATAAGAAGCTTCATTTAAAAAACGGAGGTGTATGAGGAAGGGAGGGAAGAGAGAGCGGCAAAGTTGAGGAAGGTACTGCTAAGCCCCATTTAAATAAGAAGCTTCATTTAAGGCCTCGTTTGTTTTGGGCTATTGATATCCAGTCAACATACTTTTTTATTGGGATGAAATACTCGATAGACCCTACATATTCAACAGTTTAGATTATCAATATGGATTCTGTGATGGGCCTATGGAAGCCCAACAAGTCCCAACTGGAGACAAGTTGCTCCCTTTAAAAAATATGTCTAATTTTTTGGCTAGAATAACACTTCTAAAAAAATCAATAAAATACCAAATTAAAGTAGGTTTTGTATTTATTGATTTTTTTTAAGATTTCTTCACAAATATTTTATTTTTTAAGTAATTTAGATTAGGTGCAACTAAAAAAAAAAATGGCAAAAATATGAAAACAAAACACAAAAAATAAAAAATTGAACAACTGCTTTTGAAAACTTAAAAGAATAAAATGTGTCTTACTAACAAGCACCTATAAGGACAAGTAAAAGACAAAAAAATTAAAGAATACATGACATTTTTCAATAAATTCAATACACTTTTAATGAAAGCAATATATTTTTTAATATTTTTATATATTTTCAAGATACTTTATACACACTTTCTAATATTAAACAATGCATAGGCTCCACTTGTTAGTATTTGTCTAATAAAATTATACTTAAAACAAAAATAAAAATAGGAGACTAACATGTAGGTCCTAATAGGTAAACTTATTGTCCAATAAGTCTTGTGATAATTAACAACGTTTTTTAAAAGATGTCACTAATTATTAATTTTTAGCAATAGTTTGAAAAATTTATCATAAAAAAATTTGATAATTGTCAATTTTTAGTAACATATTTAGAAAATCATTACATAAGACGTCACTAATTGTCAGTTTTTAGTGACAAATTCAGAAAATCATCACAAAAAATCTCTTTAGCGACAATTTTGATAAGACCAACTTTCAAAGACGAACACTAATTGTCAAATTTTAACAACAAATTTACAAAATTGCCAAAAAAAATCTTTTTAGCGACGGTTCTGATAAGACTTAATGAAAATTAAATCTAATATTAAGATCAACTAATAATTTAGCCATAAAAATATAAAGTTATAAAGAGGTGTTTTGGTGGTATAAATACAAGCTCTTAACATTTCTCCCTTATTGTATGAGAGTAACAAATTTTTGTGTTGGGCTTCTCTCAAGCTTTAGTATGAACATGACAGAATTTGAGGGGCCGTAGAGCTCACTATGAGTTATGTTTTAAGGATTTGATTTGTTTATTTTATAAGGTTCTCAATAAATATCATTCATAAAAAAAATTAAGTCGATTCGATAATTGTAATCTTTTTATTTTATCGCGTTTGTTTTCGAAAAAATAAACAAGTATATTTTTTAGAAAAGATCATTCATTTTTGTAGAGACAAATACAATAAAATAAAAAGATTAAGATTATTAGATAGATTTAATTTTTTTCATGGATAATATATAGAAAACTCAACAAATGAACAATTCGAATTATCAAAACAAGACACATGGTGAATTTCATATTTGAACTTGAGAAAAATCTCATCGAGAAAATAATAATTAAAAAAAATGGAAATTTGACTCATGTAACAAAATAAGTATTGAGTTTTTAATTTGTCAATTTAAATCATATGTCTATTTTTGTTAAATAAAATCAACAAAAAAATGATATTTTATTCATTAAATTAAAAAAATGATATTTTAAACATTTTATGTGTACCTATATTGAGTTTAATGGTTAAAATACTTTTTTTTTCTCCTTAAGTTTTACTTAACAAAATTAGGTCAATAATTTAGATTGAATAGGGTTTAATTGACAAAATAAAAAATTCAGAATTTATTTTGTTATCAAAATCAAGTCTGATTTTTTTAAAAATAAAAATGATATATAAGTCTACTTTCTAACCACTCTTATAAACTTAATAATATGTCAAAAAGATGATTAACTAATAACTAGAGAAAACATACAAGAAATAGAGTTGTTTTATATAGCGTAAACTACCAATAAGTCTTAATAGTTGGACTTAATTCCTATCAAGTTCTCTTGAAAATAAGTCCTAATAAAATCGTTGTTAAAAATAATTTTTTTAATGACTTTTTACATATGTCGCTAAAAATTGACAATTAGTGCTTTTTTTTATCACGTTTTTATAAATTGTCACTAAAATTCTCAATTAGTGACTTTTTGTGACGAATTTTTTAAATTGTCGTTAAAACTTATAATTAATGAGTTTTTTTTGTGACAATTTTCAAACTGTCATTGAAAATTAACAATTAAGGACTTTTTTTTAATAATGTTTGATGAAAAATGCCATTATTTATTATAGGACTTATTAGAGAATAAATTCACCTATTAGAACCTACACATAAGTTCTCCTTTTATATATTCAAATAGACTGTTACATCACTCAATTTGAAAAATAAAACTAAAAGTATGATTTAATAAAATTTAAAATGGAAGATTTTGTCAAAGACCCCTCATAATAAAAATTTAATGCATTAAGGACAAGTACACAAAAAAAAAAAATTCTTGAAAAGCCCATTGCATACCACTATTATCAAAATATTAAACTTTAAAATAATATAACTTTTAATTTAAATGTCAATTTTTAATAAAATTAGTATTTTTTTATAATCTTCTCATCAAGATCTATCCAGTAAGATCCATGTTGACTATGAATTTATTTTATTTTATTTTTTAAATTATTATTGCCGTTGAAATTGTTGTAAACAATAACATGTTCCTCTGATTACTCTAGTTCATTTTAACATGTTACTTTGGCAATATTGTCCAAGAAAAAAAATGATATTTTACCTTATCTTTACTCAATTATGCGCCTCTCCTTAGAGAGTTTATCAAGCAAAATAAATTAGGCTATCATTTTTAGGCCTCGTTTGGCAAGTGGATTTTTTAGTCAAAAAGTCAAAAAGTCACTAAAAAAATCAAAAAGCCAACAACCCATACAAAAAAGTCAAAGATTCTCTTTTCTTTATACCTTTTGCATATCTTTTCGTAAAAAGCCAAAAAGTCATCTCAAATATACTAGTTTTTTTTAGCTCATATTTTAGCCAAATAGTAAAAAAATTACTAAATTAGTCTGTTCCCAAACAAGGCCTAAATAAGGGTCCAATGGAGGAGTTTTGACCAAATTTTTCTTTAAAGAAATTTAAGATTTATTTAGTTATAAAAGTAATGAGATAGAATTATTTTATATACAAATCTATTTTCTAAACTTTTTTTTTTAAATCTAACAATGTGTAAGTGATATGATTAATTAATAATTAAAAAAAATATTAAAAAATATATCACCTTTAATATCTTATTAAACTATTACATCATTAAATTTAAAAAATAAATTTAATTTTTGTTCTTCAAATAAGAAGCTTCGTTTAAAAAACGGAGGTGTATGAGGAAGGGAGGGAAGAGAGAGCGGCAAAGTTGAGGAAGAGACTGCTAAGCCCCATTTAAATAAGAAGCTTCATTTAAGGCCCCGTTTGTTTTGGGGTATGAGAGGGGGATTGGGATTAGGATAGCTGTGGGTCCCATTTAATGTGCTGTTTGTTTACAGAGTTAAGGAAAGGACTGCTAAGCCGAAGGAATTAGGATAAGCCTTGCAGATGGGATGCAGATGGGCTTCCAGGACTTGGTAATAGAAAAATAGTCCGGCGGACTAGAATTTTTTTTTTTATTTATTTTTTATTTTATTTTTTATATGTCGGACATTTTTTTTGAACACTAATGTTTAATTTTTTATTTTTTTTTGAAATTTTTTTATTTTATTTTTATTTTTTTAAAATTTTTTACATGTTGGACATTTTTTTTAAAACATTAATATTTAATGTTTTTGTATTTTTTTAAATTTATTTTATATTTATTTTAAATAGAAATAATTTAACAATCTCTACACTAACAACTATCATCAAAATAAACACAATTTTACTTAATCCCCTCACTATTAATTCCCTCAATTCTACCTCTAAAAACAAACGCCCTTAACAATAAAGCAAAACACAGCACAGCACACCGCACCAACACCATCAACCCCTTCCATTCTACCTCCGAAAACATCCGAAAACAAACAAACTTAGCATTAGCAATAAAGCAAAACACAGCACAGCACAGCACACCAACACCAATATATATGTATCAGAGCTGTTCTGTCTGCCTGAAATTGGTAGCATTGCCATTTGCCACAAAACAAAAACAACAAGAGAATCGTAACCCTTGTTTTCAATCATCTCTCGCTTTCTCTCGCTCTCTCTCTATATATGGAACCCTCGTTTTCATGTTCTTCTTCTTCGTCCCCACACCCTATACCCCATCGCCGCCATGTCTTCCGCCGAAAGAGTCATCAACAACGACGATCTTCTCAAACAGATCTTAATTCGACTTCCCGCCAAGCCTCTCTTCGCTTTCAAGACTCTATCAAAGAGATCGCTTTCTCTCATCTCCGATCGCTACGTCCTTCGAGACTGGCTTCCCCCAATTTCTCCTACCTCCTTCTTCCTCAGACGCTACTCCACTCCCTCATCTCCCTCTATCAATTTCAATCACATTTCTTTACTTCCTTCCAATTCTACTTGATCCTTCGATTTCGTCAATGACCCCAACGGGGTCAAGATTTCCCAGTCCTGTAATGGGTTGTTACTCTGTTCTTCATCTTGCTTGTCAACTTCAGATTACAGCCACACTCGTTACTACGTTCTCAACCCCACCACCAAATACTTCTCCACCATCCCTAGGCCCACCAATGGGGATGACCGAAACAACTTTTTAGTTTCAATGAATTTGGCTTTTGATCCCTCTGTTTCATTTCACTCCAAGCTAGTTGCTCTCCGTTCCAAAAGTTGGCGCGGCCCTGATTTTAAAGCTGCTGTATATTCCTCCGAAACCAAAACTTGGACCTTTTCCCAGGTATCACATGCTTACTCCACCAGTATAGTATTTGAAATTGGGGTCTTTCTTAATGGAAAGATTCATTGGCCTACTTGTCACTCCCTAAGATCAATCTATTATGATGTTAATCAAGATAGACTCTTCCCATTGCCAATGCCTCATATATCAATCTTTAAGCAGCTATTGTATTTTGCGGAGTCTGGAGGTCGTCTGCAGTTAATTGAGTTTTCTAAAAATTGCACTCATCATTTTCATGTGTTCGAGTTGGAGACCAACTATTCCAAATGGTTTGTCAAGTACCATGTTGACCTTCAATTGGCTGTACCGGATTTTCCAGAGATGTATCATGCACACCCTCATCGGCCTTGTATGGGTTATACATTCAGTGTGCTTTGCTTACTTGGTGGAGACGTTGAAGTTGATTCATGTTTGGTCTTATACGTGCCTGGCAAAGTCGTATCCTATAATTTCAAGGATGAGAGTTTTAGGAAGGTATGCAATTTGAATCTGTCCCTTGGTGATATTGACTATGTACGGTTCGCCCATGGTTTACAGTCCATCCATGCATGGACACCATATTTCCTGTTTGATTGTATTCTTTGCAAAATCGTTAGTGTCGTTTCCATTTCATTGTTTTCATTTGTTTCATTTCTAGTGTTCTCTTCCTTGTACTTTAAGAATGTTTTGCCCCTCTGTTGGTGTAGTAATTTCGCTAGTTGTAAGTTTATATATGCCTTTTGCAATGAAATGAATTATGTGTCATTTCGGATATGTTAAATTGATCTTATTTCCTGTTGGATAAGTTTATATGTGGCTTCTGCAATGAAATGTTTTTGTAACATCAATAATGTGTGTGTTCTAATATGATCGATTTTACTTCATGCTTTAGCTTATTGAGTTTCTAAGTAAGAATGTAATACAAAACTTTGGCATGGTGATGAAATGATGCATCTGCCAAGGCTGCGACCAATTAACAACCTACGTTAAGTTTACTATTGGTGGGTGCTAAAGTATTGATGAGTGAATGATATATATCTAGAAATATATCTGGGCAAGAATCACAAAGAAGAAATAATGTGATAATTGTTAAGTTATCAATTTTTCCAAAAGCCTAAGCTATTAGGAAATTGACCCAACAATGTATATCAAGCTATCTAACACCCTCCCTCATGTGCAACCCCGTCTTGCATGTGGAGAGACAAACAAAGAACCAAATAGAAGGAGAAGCAAATAAACGGGGACATAACACCAAATGCTAACGGAGAGACTTGAACCCAATACCTCTCTTAACTAGAGCTCTGATACCATGTAAAGTTACTAATTTTCCCAAAAGCCTAAGCTATTACGAAATCAACCCAACAATGTATATCAAGCTATCTAACAATAATGAAGCTAAACAAGTAATAGGACGCTTTGTAATTCTTAGCCTTGACGAGTTTATCTTTGATAGTCTGTTACTCTAGTAATGTTGTCCCCTTGTGGACAGTAATTATGCCTGTGGTTTTATTCATTTTTGCATGGTGACCGTTTTTTCATGCTTGAGAGATTCCTTTTTTAAGTTATTAGGGTTGTCTAGATTTCCTTTTTTTGCTTTTTTTGTTTCTTATTTTGGTCAAGAATATTGTGAGTTTACAAATTTTTTTTTTTTATTCATATACTTGTTTCTATATTGGCTTAGTATCGTAGTTTAGGAGTATCTTATTTAAAAAAAACTTTTTCCTCTTGGATTTTGAATCTTTTATGATTTGTATATTGGATGGAGCAATTTTTGGCAAGTTTTTAATGTCTTCGGAGTTTTCTATTATCTATAAAAAGGACACCTTGCTGTAACACGATTTTGGAGTTGCAGTGAAATCTTTTCCTGGGTAAAGCATGAGTGTAGAATTCTTCTACTGACTTGGGTACTGAACTCAAGCTGCCCCTACGGAGCAAGGTACTTTTTCTTCTTTTATTTTCCTATTTGCTTAATTTTTATTCATTCATATCCGTCGAACAGAGCTTAACCATCATAATCCGAACTTATCTCTTGGAATCCATTATTTTACAAGACCTGGCCCTGTTTTCCTCGTTTTAATGTATACTAAGCTGTCCTTCGATACTAGTAGAGAGGGTATCACTCATTAAATGTAGAAAAGGCATGCAACTTTGATGGTGGCAGCGTTAGGTAGCTGAGGACATTAACTATCCTTCAGGGTGTATATTACCTAGTTCATTATTCTTTTTGCTTCCACGAGTTCTAGTGCTCAACCAATATGTAGTAGAAATGCTGACTGATTTATGTCTTTCAACGTGGATTCCTTTATTTTGGCAAAACTATTGTCTATCAATGAAGACCTCATTTTTAGTGGTTGAATTTCGGGTTATAGCAGAAATTGGTTATCAAGTCATATTAAAAGAGAAGAGGAGTATTGATTAGCAATCATTTCTGCTAGGAATAGATTTATCTCTCTTATTAGTTCTTCAAGAAATTGGTACTTTACCAAAAAACAAAAGTTGAGGATATTGGTTTCTACTCAAAAACTACCTTAGTGCAACCCCTGTTTGAAATTGAATGCAATAAGAATTGATATCTCTTATTGGATTAAATTCTGGCCTCATCCAAACACTACAATGTGAATTACCTCTTTCTTCACTCTCATTGTTTCTTGGTCTGTAATTAGAGTGTGGCTGTGACTTGGTGCGATGGCATTGTGGCAAGTACTATCCACCCTAAGCTTTGTGGCGCATGTTTGAGTCATGGCCTTGGTGACTTGATGTAAGACTGCCTACCTTTTATCTCTCTGAGACACTGCTGCAAGCTGGAGCTTGTGCACTAAATCAGCAGCCCCATCACATGTTGCCTAAAAGTAACTGTAGGTATTGCAAGGATTAACTCTTTCTACATGTAGAATTAGATTACATTACGGAAATCTAAACTATCAATTTTCATAGAGTGAAATCTGAAACTGAAAATAAATAGGGAAACAAAATGAAGCACTAAACTAACAAGTTTTCAATGAAACACATTTTTCTTTAGAATGTCTTGCTGTGAACATGAAACCAAGACTCATGGAGAAACTTTTTTAGGTGCTTTGGTTATCTTCAACTGATGAAACTCCTCGTTGGTAAGTTTGGTCAGTTTTGTTTTATTTTTCTCTGCAGTATATTTGTACTTTACCCTTCTATAGGTTGTATTCCTTTTTCCTTTCCTTTTTTGTCTCCTTGAAAATCATTTTATTGGTCAAAGCAATATGCATTACTACTTATGTGCTACTGATTACTGGCTTGAACATAGTTATGAATTTGATACCAGTTTTATATATATATATATATATGATGAGGAACCCCTGATCCCACTTTCGATGAGAGCTGGGATAAAATTCTGGATATGTGTGACCACCAGCTAGCCTCACATATTGGGCAAAGTAGGGAGTCGGAACCTAAAACCTCTTGGTTGTTTATCTGGGGACTTTCCATTTGAGCTAACCCTAACAGGTGGGAATTCCATACCATTTGGTGCATTGTTTTGTCACTGGAATTGATTGTTTTTAGGTATTGATGCATTTTGGCACATCATTTCAGATTTATCTCTATAAATAAAATAGTGTCAAAAAAATATGCGTATTGGGTTTCCAATCCAAAAAACCCAAATCTACTTAATAACACACTGTGGATTCTTTGAATTACAGGGTCATCATCTATGAAGCATGGACACTCCAAAATTAGTGCCGTGGCGGTGTCCGACACGGGGACACGCTGGGGACACGGGGACACGCCGGGGACACGTATGGGACACGCCAGATGGCGTGTCCCTTTAATTTAATGATTTTTTTGTAAGGGACACGGCAGGGACACGGCGGGGACACGCGTGTCCATATGGGGACACGGCGGGGACACGGCAGGGCTATTTTTATTTTTATTTTTTTTAATTTAATTTTTTTTATTTTTTTAATCTTTTGCCTCTCTTATTTAATACTTTTGTGAAAAATATTGTTGGATGTTGAATGTTTTCCCCTTCTCGTCTTAGTTCTTGTTATCGTTTATTATGACTTTTTTGTGAATTTTTTGTGAATGGATGATCTATTAATTTGTTTAAATGTAATGGTTATGTTTATTCAATTAATGTTACTATGTTAGTGTTTGTTAATTTTAATTTAGGATGAATGTAATATGAATCTACATAACACATAAAAATATATAAAATAAATAAAATAAAATTCGCCGTGTCCCCCGCCGTGTCCGTGTCCCCATTTTTTGAAAATTGCCGTGTACCGTGTCCGTGTCCGTGTCCGTATCCGTATCCGTGTCTGTGTCCGTGCTTCATAGGTCATCATCCACAATGAGCACACACAACCTTTTTCACTTTTATTCACACTCATTGAACTGGAACTGCCTATTCTAAAAGCCTCTTTCTCACAAATCACTTTTCTATATGGTCATAAATAATAGATTTATAATTTAGTTGAAAGATCATACTGTTTGGTCATTTTTGTTTTTGTTTTTGTTTTTTTTTAAATTAAGTTTTTGTTTTCTGTATTTTTTATTTTTAATGAATTTTTTTTCTGTGTACATGCAGATTGTTTCCATTATGAGTGGAAGATTATGTGGAAATAAGCGATTCTCAAGTAATTTAAGATTTTATACATTTTATATTGATTTAATTGAGGATTGGAAAGTTTGGATTTTATTAAATAAAAAAATATTAAAAAATTCAAAATATTTAAAAAGCCATGTAAAAAAAAAAAAAAATCAAAGATTTATTTCATTTTCGTCACTTTTTGTATCTTTTTTTTTATAAAAAAATAAAAAATCAAAAAAAAATCAAAAAGTCATTCCCAAATATTTTCATTATGTTTGGTTATCTTTTTTTTTTTTTTCAAATTGAGTTTTTGTTTTCTGGGTTTTTTTATTTTTAATGATTTTTTTAAAAAATATTAAAAGTTTTTGTTTTTTAATGATCATTAAAAATATTTTAAAAAAAATCATTAAAAATAAAAAACACAGAAAGCAAAAACTCAATTTAAAAAAAAAAAAAACAAAGATAACCAATCAGAATGAAAGTATTTGGGAATGACTTTTTGATTTTTTTGATTTTTTTTATAAAAAAAGATACAAAAAGTGAAGAAAATGAAATAAACCTTTGATCTTTTTATTTTTTTTTATTTTTTATTTTTACATGGCTATTTAAATATTTTGAATTTTTTAATATTTTTTTATTTAATAAAATCCAAACTTTCCAATCCTCAATTAAATCAATATAAAGCGTATAAAATCTTAAATTACTTGGGAATCGCTTATTTCCACATTATCTTCCACTCATAATGGAAACAATCTGCAACAGAAAAAAAATTCATTAAAAATAAAAAATACAGAATACAAGAACTTAATTGAAAAAAGAAAAACAAAAATGACCAGACAGTATGATCTTTCAACTAAATTATAAATCTATTATTTATGACCATATAGAAAAGTGATTTGTGAGAAAGGTGACTTTTAGAATGGGCAGTTCCAGTTCAATGAGTGTGAATAAAAGTGGAAAAAGGTTGTGGGTGCTCATTGTGGATGATGGCCCTGTAATTCAAAGTGTGTTATTAAGTAGATTTGGATTGGAAACCAAGTAGTGGGAAATGGGAAATAGACCCTTTGGCTATCAAATGGGAATGTATTTCAACTTTCATAGCATTTGCTAGTTGCCTTTTGCAGAAAATTTGAAATCGAGTTCACTTAGTAGCTAGTTGTTCCGCAAGGGTTTATTTCAATAGCATTGCACTTTTCATGAAAATTGGAATCATGAATATTTCTTATGTTGTGTGGTTAAATATCTGGTTCGGGGGCTACATGTTATGTGTTTGCTTGAGAAGTGCATGATAAGTTACATTCAAGAGCCAGGTTGACTAGCTGGTTGACTAATGCTGTGTTTGAATTTTGATGAGATTTATAAAGAGCCAGATTGATTAGCCGTATCTGTATAAATGCATCTTACCTATATTACTCTCCAGTTTGGGAAAGATACGTACTGATTACTCTGAGCTTTTTGCAAGCGTAATCTTTGAAACTTACTTCTGACACTAACTTTAGCATTGGATGGCCCAACAACCATCCAATAACCGGCTTAACATGTTTACCGTTTGTGTGTGTTTTGTAGAGTTGACAACAACATCACAGGTGTTCATTTCATTTATTGAATAGAATGGAAATTCACCCTATGCATGCACCATTATGAAGTGGTATATGTGTCATCATGATATCCTAATTGCAGAGAGAAGAAGATTCAGGGGATTAGGTTTCTTCTTATTCTGGTTTTTTTTTCCAATGCTGCTTGTGTTCTTAATGGATCTGCAGGTGAGAACCTGAAAGAATGAGAATTCATTACATCTTTTTCCTTTTGTTTAACAACTCTCTCTCTCTCTCTCTCTCTCTCTCTCACTATGTATATATATGTATATGTATTTGGTGGCATCTACCTAGGACTAGGGAGATGTCTTCAATCGCATACTAGGTTGGGTGCAAACATGGTATGTTTGCAATTTTACATTAAATTTTTTTGGTAGTCTAGTGAAAGAGAAAACGTTAGCAATTTTAGATAGTTTGATGGATAAAAAAAAATCATTTAGCAATTATTGGAGGTGACAGTTAGGGTTTTCTTGGAGATAAGAGATAAATAAACTTGTCAGGATTCACTCAAAATGAGATGTACCATTTATACAATAGAATTAATTTGTTTGCTTAGAATGTGAAATTGAAACCTATTTGTGGGCTATTGCAGTCAAATTGGAGATATTATTGGCAATATCAAAATGAAAACCAAACTTCTTCTAGTGAATTCCATTTTAAGCAAATAATAAAAACAGAACCGACTTTGGTATCATGGAGGTGAATCCAGAGTGAAGCGCTACTACTGAAGGCATAATACTGCCCATTGTTCCCAAATTCTCAGGCAAGGTTTCATACTACTCTCTTTGTTCCAGATCTCAAAATATATGTACATATATATACCTCACTAAATTTCTAAAAAAATAAATTCGTTGTGTAGAGATTCAGAATGAAAAAAATCTCATTGTCAATGTCTCTCAATGATGAACACTAGAAACACATTTTTTCCCCAAGTCCAATAATGAACTTTTTTTTTGTCAAAGGTATGAAAAAAACTAGGGGAAATATTTCAGTGGCATTTAAAAAAAAATAATTTTAAGTTGATGAAAAACTTATGACTTCATATTTTGATGTTGTAAAGTTTATAACCAATATGATATTTCTCCAATCATAAAGGTTTAAAAACACTATCAATTATAAAGTCTAGAAAAAAGCCTCCTCATACAAAGTCGCAGCTAAATAAAATAAAAAATAAAAAAATCTTTGGATGAAAGAAAAATTATTTGGTGGCACAAGCACATCACTTGGCAATGCCCCTTACCAAACATTATCCTGTGTTGTTTTTCTATACTTATCACAAAATCGTCTGACCCCATCCTCTCTGCCAATCACGACACATCTAGGACACTACATGGCTATATATGTCTGGAGATCACCAAATAACTTCTCCAGACCAAAGGCGCAATAGTAATGCTCCGTTTGTTTGGGCAGAAAATATTTTTTGAAAAATATTTTCCATATTTTTGTTTTGTCACATATTTTCTAGTGTTTGGTACAATGAAAAATAAAAGTTAACGGAAATTATTTTTCATGGTTAATGGAAAACAAGTCTATTTGGGTAGAAAATATTTTTTACTCTTAAAAGGTGAGAAATGTTTTCTAAATTAAAATTTTGTCAATGTCACCACACCACCAACACTACTCTAACCTCTACAACCATACTACCCTAACCACAACCACAACCACCGCCACCATCACCGCCCCACCATCATTCCACCACCTCTACCTCCAACTCCACCTTCGTTCCACCACCATCATCACCAAACATTGAAAAATATTTTCTCTAGAAATTATTTTTATTAAAAAATATTTTTCGTCCAAATGAACGGAGTGTAAAAATAATCAAAAAATTCCCACAATTTTATTTACAATAATAAAAATTGAATTTAGATTAAAAAATAAAATTAAAAGTTAATAAATATTATTAAAATATAAAAAGGCGCAGTCAAGGATCATCCATCAAAATGGATTTTCTACTAAATCTCTCAAATAAAAATTAAATTTCACATACAAAAATAAAATTAAAAGTTAATAAATATTATTTAAATATAAGATGGCGCAGTCAAATTTCTCTATTTTCATATTATAATGCATTCTCAATCATATAATTTAATGAATGCATTAAGAAAAAAGAAACAAGAGGTCATTGTGTGTGTGGGGCAAAAGAATGCTCTATAGTTGCTAGGGATGGTAATGGAGATTAATGGGGTGAATATTAATTCTCCATCTTCCTATAATAATTTTTTCTCATTCTCCATTCCCCATAGGTGTTACCCTCGCCATCTCCTAATGAGTTTGGATTTTTCCCAATCCAACTTGACACTTTTTTTTTTAAGGTTCACAACCATTTTTTTTTTCTCACAACTAAAGCTATACATTCAATCTTATTTTATTTTATTTGGTTCAACAATAAAATTAAATACACATTAATTAATTAATTAAAAAATTTGTTTTGAATAATTAACTATATAATTTTGAGATAATCAAATAAATTTTTAGTGATTAAAAAAAAATAGAAGAACGTGAAAGATTAAAATAAAATTTTTTTTTTTGAGGCCATGTTTGTATGTTGAGGAATCTCTAAACCTTGGTCTCTAGGGTTTCTTTTCTTCCTTGTAATCTCTCTCTCTCTCTCTCTAGACTCTGCCTCTGGGTTTCTAGGTTTCAGAGCCCAAATTCATGATCACAACCTCTGCCAACAGGTCTTAAATAAGGGAGCTGCTGGGTAGCTCGAAAACTGATTGTCCCGAATAGCTCGATTATTGGAAACGCGTCGTTTTGACCTTTTTTTTTTTTTGTTTCTTTCCCTCTTGCTTCCTCTTCTTCTTTCCCCTGGCCAATCTAAAAAATTAAAGAAGAAGAAGAAGAAGAAGAAGAAGAAGAAGAAGAAGAGCCTCAAAGAATCAAATAGTCCCAAAATCTAATATGAGAAAAAAAAAATCAAAATCAAAACTCAAACTCAAAATCAAAATCAAAACCAATTGTTTTTTTTTCCCCTCTTTTTGCTTCCTCTTCTTCCTTCCCCTTGGGCAATCTGAAAAATTAGAGGGAGAAGAAGAGGTTAGTGGTGAGCAGCAGATATACCGATCTGCCAAAACTGACCGAACCGAACTGATCCGCCGCATTTTGGACGGATACATGATGATGAACAGACGGTTGCGGATTGATTTTCTCCAATCCGCCAATATGGCGGACGGATGGCGGATTTGAGATTCCTTTGGCCGCAACCGAACCGCCAAACCGCGAACACCTCTAGTAATTTATAAGACTTTGTGTTTTTAGTTTGTTTAAATATTCTGTTTGCATTTTCAATTAAAAAAGAGTTTAAATATTTTGTTGAAAAAAAGTTTTCAACTTGAATATCTTTTTTGAATTGAAAAAAATAAACGTATTATTTATCTATATTTTTTGGTTTTTAAATCTATCTCTAAAAATAATAAATAGAAAATATGATATATGCTGGTTGGTTTTTTTGTTTTCAAAAACAGATATAGATATAACAATACAGAGATATACAATCTCTACTATTGCTCGGTCCATGGTTTTGGTGGTTTTGAATTGTTTTTATATTTAAGGACCACAGATTGTAATACTTTATGTGGATGAGGCATGCTGTGATTGTAGTATGTGGATGAGGCATGCAGTGATTGTGATATTCTAAAGTTTCAAACTTTTTTACTTTGGATGAGGCATGCAGTGATTGTAATATTTTTTTAAGTCATTAACTGTAATAATTTTTTTTTTTTTTTTTGAGGAAATGCACAAGTTGAATTATGTTGAAAATTTATAAAATTTTAAACCGCCAAACCGATTCGCATCCATCCGCCAAACCGCCAATCCGCTCAATCCACATCCGCCAAATTGGTGGATGGATGCGAATTGATTTTCTCCAATCCACCAATATGGTGGACGAATGGCGGATTGGAAGTTCCATGGCCGCAACCGACCTGCGCCCACCCCTAGAAGAGCCCAAAAAAATCAAGCCCAAAATCAAAAATCAAAACCAATTTCAACAGCAAATTCAGTAGAAAAGAAGAAGAAGAAGAAGAAGAAGAAGAAAAATAGCACTAACACATCCGCCGGATTGGCGGACGGATGCGGATTGATTTTCTTCAATCCGCCAATCTGGCGGACGAATGGCGGATTGGAAGTTCCATGGCCGCAACCGACCTGCGCCCACCCCTAGAAGAGCCCAAAAAAATCAAACCCAAAATCAAAAATCAAAACCAATTTCAACAGCAAATTCAGTAGAAAAGAAGAAGAAGAAGAAGAAAAATAGCACTAATTTTAGCAGAAAAATAGCACTAATTTTAGCAAAAAAATAGCCCCAATTTCAGCACAGAAACAGCCCCAATTTTAGTACAAAAACAGCCCCAATTTCATCACCAAAAAGCACCAATTTCAGCATCAAAACAGCACCAAAATACCAGCAAAACAGTAGCAATTTGAGCAAAAACAAGACCAAAACAACAATTTCTTCTCCTCATCTCCTTCTTCTCTTTCTTTCTTCATCCTTCTCTATTTCTCTCTTTCTCTCTGTTTGTTTGGGTTTGGTTCAACTTTTGAAAAAGAAACGAGAAGTGGAAGGGAAAGAAGGAAAAGAAAAGAAAAGAAAAAGTTAAAACGTCGTCGTTTTCGAAAATCGAGCCATTCGGGGCAATGGGTTTCTAGCTACAACACATTTTCCCTTAAATAACCACGATTTGAATTCAAATCTTCGCACGACTTGCTTCATTCTAGGGTTTCTATTGTAAGTCTTTGTTTTTGTTTTTTTTTTTTCCAATTCAACTTCCATCAATTTTCAATATGTGATCGCATTGAGTAATTCGGATGGTGAGCAATTCGATTTGAATTAGTGTTTACGTAGCTTATGCGTGATAAAGATTTGTGTATCTAGTTTGCCTTGTTCTTTGATCAATCAATTTAATTTAATTTGCTTCAAAACACAACATTTGATCTAGGTATGCATTCGAAGTTCTGATTTTTGTGTGTTTTGTTCTTTTTGTTTTTGGGGGAAATGGGCGGGTACCTATTCCCGATCCATATCCTATGAATATTTAAAAAAATAGGGGGAGTTACGGGCCGGTCCTATGGACCGGTCTTATTACTCAGCAGGTCCCGCCTAAAAAAATCAAACAGTGTTTTTTATTTTTACCCCTAGACTCAACACTACAAATTTATCGCTGGTTTAAACAAATTTATCACTGGTTTAAACAGATTTATCACTGGTTTAAATATATTTATCACTGGTTTATCACTGATTTATCACTAGTTTAAAAAAATTTATCACTGATTTAAACAGTGATAAATTAATAATCAGACAAAACTGATTAGCAAAGCACCGTTAAAAGGCTCATTAAATTTCATTACAATCGAAACAATTTCAA